CTGGTGCCTCAGCAAGCACAATGGCACGAAGCGTTGTGGCCAGCCCAGTGGTACCAGTGGGCACCGTGGCCTCTGGCGCAGCCCCCGGTGGGGGCTCGCTCGGTAGCTAGGGCCTCGGAAGCACCGTCGGCGTACATCTTTAGACCACCAGAAAAAAGGTTAGTGGGACCTGTGTCCTCAGTACTGTGCCTGGAGTCCAACCAGGTGGGAGATCCGCCGGATGACATCCAAAGCACCGCATCGGCCTTGCCCTGTCCAGGGGAGCTGATTGTGGCCCCGCCCCCCTCCATCCCGCAGGAGGACTACCGGGCCCACCAAGACCTCCTAAAAAGGGTGGCAGCGAGCCTCCACCTCCAGACTGAGGAGATAGAAGAGCCCTCAGACTCCCTGTTCAATGTGCTGTCTGTCCCCTTCAGCACCAGACAGAGTGGCCTTGCCTCTCCATGAAGGGGTGGCAAGAATTTCAAATGCCCTGTGGCAAACACCAGCCTCGTTGGCTCCCATCTCTAAAAAGGCGGAGCACAAGTACTTTGTACCCACAAAGGGACACGAGTATCTGTATACCCACCCAGCGCCCAACTCCTTGGTGATCAAGTCGGTCAACCACAGGGAGCAGCAGGGGAAACCAGCCCCGACCCCCAAGAACAAAGACTCTCGGAGGCTGGATATTTTCGGGAGAAAAGTTTATTCGTTGTCAAGCTTTCAGCTACAAGTAGCAAACCATCAGGCTCTCCTGAGTCGCTACGAGTTTAACCTCTGGGAATCCCTCCCCAAGATTGAGGACTCCCGCCGGGAGTGCGATAAGAAGGAATTAAGGTGCTTGTGGAGGAAGTGGCGGTGGCTGCAAGGGCATCCCTGCAGGCTGCTTCGGATGCAGCGGACATGTCTGCATGGTCCATGGCCTCAGCGGTGTCCATGAGATGGGCATCATGGCTTCTGCTCTCTGGGCTCTCCAGCGAAGCGCAGTTGTCAGTGCAGGATCTCCCTTTCGACAGGAAGGCTCTGTTTGCTCAGGAAACAGACACAAGGCTGCATGGTATGAAAGACTCCCACATGACCCTCCAGACCTTGGGCCTCTATGTCCCTCCTCCGGCAAAACCCAAGTTCAAGCCGCAGCAGGCTCCCCCCCAAGCCGCCCTCCCGAAGTACGAGGCCACCCACAAAAAGCAGTGGGACAATAGAAAGCGCCCACAACAGCAATCCCAGCCTGCCCCCCCCCGCGTGGGTCTTCTAAGGTCAAGCAGGCGGGCAAAAGATGTTCTTGACGGGATGCTCGGGGGTACCCCTCCAGTTCTCAGCAGGGACCTACCCCCAATAAAGCTCCCTTTCTCCAATCAGTTGTGTGCTTTCCTCCCGGAATGGTCGCGGCTCACCTCGGACCAATGGTCCTCAACACCATCTCCTGAGGTTATATCCTTCAGTTTACCTCCTCCCCGCCCAACTGCCCTCCGCCCCCATCCCTCCTGGGGGACCCCTCTCACGAAGCTCTGCTCGAGCAGGAGGTGGGGCGGCTCCTGGACCTAGAAGCTGTAGAGGCGGTGCCCAAGGAGTTCCTGGGCAAGGGGTATTACTCCCAGTATTTCCTTATCCCGAAGGCCAAAGGGAGGCTCCGGCCCGTCATGGACCTGCGAGGCCTGAACCACTAGATGGTGAAACTCAAGGTTTCCCTGGCCTCCATCATCCCCTCTCTGCATCCTGGGGACTGGTACGCTGCCCTTGATCTACAGGATGCGTACTTCCACATCCACATATTCGAGGGGCACAGACACTTCCTCTGTTTCGTGGTGGGACAGAGTCACTACCAATTCACAATCCTACCTTTTGGTCTGTCCACTGCCCCCAGGGTCTTTACAAAGTGTATGGCGGTGGTAGCGGCCTACCTCAGACACCAGGGGGTCCAAATATTCCCATATCTGGACAACTGGCTAGTCAAAGGCACCTCCTGGTCACAGGTGAGGGATCATGTGGCACTCCTCCTGTCCACATGTACTGCCCTGGGCCTGTTGATAAACAACGCCTGCAGTGGTGGTCTGCCCTAAACAACATGCTCCAAGGAGTCCCGTTCAGAGCCCCATCGTTGGAGCTGGTGTCCGACTCTTTGGACCTGGGGGGGGCCCATGTGGGGAACTTTCAGATCCAATGCCTGTGGTCTCTACAAGACCTACCCATTCATATAAACATCAAGGAACTCAGGGCGGTACGGCTGGCATGCATGGCCTTCCACTCTCATCTGGAGGGCAAGGTAGTCAGGGTCCTCACGGACAACACGGCCTCGATGTTCTATATGAATAGGCAAGGCAGGGCCTGATCCTCTGCCCTCTGCCACGAAGCCCTCAGTCTATGGGACTTCTGTATAGCCCACTACAATTACCTAAAAGCCTTCCACCTGCCGGGTGTCCGGAATGTGAGGGCAGATCGCTTGGGCAGGAATTTTTCCTCTCAGCACAAGTGGTCTCTACACCCGGAAGAGGCTCACCAGCTCTTCCAAAGGTGGGGAACTCCCCAGGTGGACCTATTCGCGACTCGGCAGAACCAGCGATGCCCCCAGTTCTGCTCTGGGGGGGCCTGGGGCGGGGCGCTATCTCCAATGCCTTTATCCTGTCCTGGTCAGGCCGGCTTCTCTACACCTTTCCCCCATTCTGTCTAATCAGCAGGGCCTGGAGAAAATAAAGATGGACAAAGCCAGGGTCCTCCTCGTTGCCCCAGCATGGCCCAGGCAGCACTGGTATGGGACCCTCTTGGGGCTAGCGGTAGCTCCGCCATGGCAGTTTCTGCTCCGCCCGGACCTCCTTTCTCAGGACCAGGGCAGCCTCCTCCATCCCAACCTAGCAATGCTTCATCTCACGGCGTGGCTACTCAGTGACAAGGAAGGGACATGCTCGGAACAGGTTCAGCGCATCCTCCTCGAAAGTAGACGGCCCTCCACTCACCGCTCCTGTGTGGCGAAGTGGTGTTGGTTTTCGAGGTGGGCGGCAGGCCAGGGTGTTTCCCTGACAGCCGTCCCGATCCAGCTTATCCTTGATTACCTCCTCCACCTGAGGGCGCAGGGACTGGTGTCCTCATCAGTCAGGGTACACTTGGTGGCCATATCGGCCTTTCATCCCCCGGTGCAAGGGCACACGGTGTTTTCCCATGCTATGACCAGCCGGTTCCTTAAAGGTTTGGACCGTCTCTATCCATATTCCAAGACGCTGGTTCCACAGTGGAACCTAAACCTGGTGCTGGCTCGTCTCACAAGGGCCCTGTTTGAACCACTGGCCACGTGTTCCTGGTCTCACCTCTCATGGAAGGTGGCCTTCCTGGTAGCTATCATGTCGGCCAGGTGGGTCTCAGAGCTCAGGGCCCTAACCTCCGAACCGCCGTATACAGTTTTTCACAAGGACAAGGTCCAGCTCCGCCCATCCCCCGCGTTCCTCCCGAAGGAGGTCTCCACCTAACACATGGGTCAGGACATATTTCTGCCAGTCCTCTGCCCCAAGCATCACGTGACTAGTGAGGAACGCCATCTCCACACACTTGACGTGAGGTGAGCTCTGGCTTTCTACCTCGAGCAGACCAAGCCGTTCAGAAAGTCTTCGCAACTGTTCGTCGCCTCTGCTGAGCGCGTGAAGGGTCAGCTGATTTACACTCAGCAGCTTTCTAAGTGGATCACTTCGTGCATCCGTTCCTGTTATGAGCTGGCAGGGGTTCCCCTGCCGCCCATTGTGAGGGCACACTCAACTCGGGCACAGGCCTTGTTGGCTGCCTTCGTGACCCACGTCCCCATCCAGGACATTTGTAGGGCTGCCACGTGGTCTTCAGTTCATACGTTCACCTCGCACTATGCGATCGTCTCCCAGGCCAAGGATGATGCCGGGTTCCACAGGGCTGTACTCCGTCCCAAGAACTTGTGAACTCCTACTCACCTCCAACAAATACAGCTTGGAATCACCTATTGTGGAATATGCATGAGCAATCACTCGAAGAAGAAAAGACAGTTACCTTTTCTGTAACTGGTGTTCTTCGAGATGTGTAGCTCATGGCTGTTCCACACCCCACCCTCCTTCCCCTCTGTCGGAGTTGTCTGGCAAGAAGGAACTGAGGGTGTGGGGGAGTGCAGCGCCCCTTATACCGTGCCTGGCAGGGACCGCTCCAAGGGTTGTGGGGGGGCACTCCCATAGGGGTACTGCCAGGGGAAAAACTTCCGGCACCGGTGCACGTAGCAAGCACGCACACCTATTGTGGAATAGACATGAGCAACACATCTCAAAAAACACCAGTTACGGAAAAGGTAACTGTCTTTTTCAGATTATCAACCAAATGTAAATGTACAATAACAGAGTAATCTAATTATGTTATTACTGTATATTCCTTTTCTTTTCTCACTTCATTTCCTCCTATTGTTTGTTACATGTATGCAGGGCCAGAATTGCCCATGAGCAGAGGACTAGTCTCAGGACTGTGCATTACTTCAGGCTAGCATAAGCCCTCAAAATAGGGTTTAAGTGGGAATTAATTGTTATGTAGACTCTGTGCTGCGCCTCTGCACACGGATGAATTTCAATGTCATTATGTCATGTCTGAAATTAGACTGCAAACTCTTTGGGGCAAGGACCATGTGTTTGTACTTTTTTTGTAAAGCCCCTAATTCATTTTTGGGGGTGGTATAAATAAAAATTTTCATTAGAATTGTGAAAATATATGTGACTTCATATTTTTTTTAAAATACTTGAGTCAAATTCATTCTTGGAGTGACTCAGGTTAAATCAGTAAAATTATAGAATGGTTCAATTTGCTTCCTTGTGGCTATCTTTGTATTAGAAGTAATATTTTTTGCTACAGAAACTTAAGCAAATATGCCTTAAATCTGAAACAAATTGTATAGACTCTGCTCTTATATCCGTGTAAATCTGATGTAATTCCATTGAAGCCCATGGCTTTATCTGGTATAACAGAGCAGAATTTGGCCCAAAATTTCAAGGTAAAATTTTCACCTTATATATTTTCCTTGTCTGTTACAGGTCAATGCACAAACTGACGCAGCTGGAGAGGCTTGACCTAGGCAATAATGAGTTCTCTGAGCTGGTAAGGAAAAATGTTTTGGTAGAATATGTGTGTGTGTGTGCGTGTGTTTGTGTGTGTGTGTTAGACCTTTTATACATGGAGAATTAAATTTTTAACTTAAAAGATGTTTTGGCACTGGGCACATTTATTAGTAAAATAATGAACTTGCCATGGCTCAGAGGATTGGTAATGGAATTACAAGACCTTTCAATTCCAGCAAGTTGTTTGAAATCAGGCCGAAGTTGGAAGTGAATATCAATAACAACTAATAGATATGGGAGGCCTACCAATATGTGAAATGAATTGGTGATTCCATCGTAGTTACTTTTGAACAGGTGTTAGTATTTCCAAAGCTACCACCACATTTGGCAGTAAGTGGCATACTACTCTTACTAGCAGGGCTAAACTTTTCAAAAGCACTTATGTGACTTAGGAGCCTAAGTCCCATTGACTTTCACGGAGGCTCCTAAATGCCTAAGTCATTTTTGAAAATGAGACTTAGACACCGAAGTTATTTGGGTGCTTTAGAAAATTGTACTCAATCTCAATAAAGAGGCAAAGGACTGATTTAACATCATCTGGACGTGTTTTTCTATTATGTCAGTGATGAGGCACTTTTGTGGGGCAATATGAGGAAATTTAAACTGATCTTCCATTGTGCTGATTCTGTGGATGATAATTGATGATTTCGCCGATAGGAGCTATTAATCCAGCACATTTATCAGGCACCAAATCCCTTCTTTCTATCAGTCTGGCTTAGGTATTTCTATAGCACCATCACACTAATACCTAAATTACAACTTTTGATAGTGTGATGTATGTCTACCCTTATGTGTGTAAAGCAGCTAGCACACAATTGACATTATATAAATAACCATTAATATTTAACAGTAAACAATGTCAGCTTGGTCATCAGCAGTGGGCTTCTTAATAACATTGAATTCAATCAATTAAAACAATAAATTCTGAATGAGCTGATGAATAACAAATTATTTAGCGTTTTGTTTGGTGATATAAAGTACAAGAGAGGTTGAGGCCACTTTGTGCCATTGCTGCCTCATCTTCCATAAGGCTTTCAACTGCCAGAGATCTCTGTCATGGTCTAGGCCTTTGTAAAACAGCATGTTTGTATGTACCAATATTTTGGGGCAGATTCATCTCTTGTGTATGGAGTTATGCTGTTGATGAATTAGCCACAATAAGCCTATCTGTGAGAAAGCACAGAAGTCCAGGAATGATCTAACATTAAGCTGTAAGCTTTTTATTTGAAAAGTAAGATTTAATGTTCTTCAAAAACAATTTTGAAATTGCCAGTGATTAGGATATGTTGGCTCTTTCCAGAAAGTCCAAAGAGATACATGGAAATATTTCTTTATTTGGATAATGTGCAGCAAAATAGATGCCAGCATTATTGTCTGAAAGAGATGTACTTTATTTCAGAAATAAGAAATGGACCTATTAGGATGAAAATGGTGAAAAATTCTGGTTGAGTGAAAAATGTATGCACTTAATATAATGGGTAAATGTGAACTCAGGACCCTGTATCTGAAGTTCTCATGGTATACGAAAAATCCATTCAGTTGCAAGGGTATAATAGAACAGGATTTGACCCATTTCCTCTAATATAAATAATTTCTGAGAAACTGTATGTGAAGTAAAGATTGTCATTAATCATAAATCCAGGTAAATTCTTATTAGAGAAATCTAGTTATACGTCTGTATGTTTTGTTGCATGCACATATTGTTGGCAGTACAAACCATCCATTTCTAACTGGCATGCGTAATATGTTAAAACTAATTCTGAAGCATTAGTGACTTTACAGTTCACTACTATGGAAAGAGTGCTGTCATAAATATAAAGGGAAGGGTAAACCCCTTTGAAATCCCTCTTGGCCAGGGGAAAGCTCCTCTCACCTGTAAAGGGTTAAGAAGCTAAAGGTAACCTCGCTGGCACCTGACCAAAATGACCAATGAGGAGACAAGATACTTTCAAAAGCTGGGAGGAGGGAGAGAAACAAAGGGTCTGTGTCTGTCTGTATGCTGGTCTTTGCCAGGGACAGAACAGGAATGGAGTCTTAGAACTTTTAGTAAGTAATCTAGCTAGGTATGTGTTAGATTATGATTTCTTTAAATGGCTGAGAAAAGAATTGTGCTGAATAGAATAACTATTTCTGTCTGTGCATCTTTTTTGTAACTTAAGGTTTTGCCTAGAGGGGTTCTCTATGTTTTTGAATCTAATTACCCTGTAAGATATCTACCATCCTGATTTTACAGGGGGGATTTCTTTATTTCTATTTACTTCTATTTTTTATTAAAAGTCTTCTTGTAAAAACTGAATGCTTTTTCATTGTTCTCAGATCCAAGGGTTTGGGTCTGTAGTCACCTAGGCAAATTGGTGAGGCTTTTTACCAAACCTTGTCCAGGAAGTGGGGTGCAAGGTTTTGGGAAGTATTTTGGGGGGAAAGACGCGTCCAAACAGCTCTTCCCCAGTAACCAGTATTAGTTTGGTGGTGGTAGCGGCCATTCCAAGGATAACGGGTGTAATATTTTGTACCTTGGGGAAGTTTTGACCTAAGCTGGTAAAGATAAGCTTAGGAGGTTTTTCATGCAGGTCCCCACATCTGTACCCTAGAGTTCAGAGTGGGGGAGGAACCTTGACATGGTGGCAGCGTGGTGGGATGAACCTGAAATCATTTTGAGATCCAGTTGAGATTTTTTGAACTAGAAATACAGATTTTAAAAAGGAATTTTTAGGAAGTCCAGAAAGCAGCTTTGAAACTGAAAGCAGCTTGGTTTCTCTCTGCTTTGTGGCCAAGCAGAGACAAAAGGGGATTATCTTGTGAATTGCAGGTTTTCTTTGCCTGGAGGCAGGGTACTTAACTCCTGCAGGGAAATTCACAGTCTTCCAACCCAGAGGTTTTTTTTTCTTTTCTTCCTAAAAGTAAATAGGGGGTGTGTGTTCTACCCATTTGCTTTTTCTTTGGGCTGGGTAAGCAGGTTTCCAAGTAGTTGGAGGTTTTTTGCTTTAATTTGGGCCCAGAGCAGAGACAAGGGAATTGTCTTTTTCTGTAGGCTGACAATCACTATCAGAGAATAGGTATTCTATTGCAGCACAGCAAAATTTTACAGCCAAGTTTTGTTTGTTTATTTCTAAACCTCGGGTGTAAAGTTAGTTAAAAACAGAGAGGTTAGAATGACCAAATCCTCAGCTCGACTACAGCTGGAATTAGCCAAATTTCAGGCTGAGGAAAGACAAAGGGAACATGAAAGACAGATAGAACTCATGCGGCTGAAGAAGGAACAAGAAAGGGAGGCAGCGAGAGAAGCAGAACAACACCAAGCAGCTGCTCACAGGAGAGCTATGGAAGCGAGGGACAAAGAACTGGAGGAGAAGGAAAAAGAGAGGAAGTATGTGGAGGAGATGGAGAAGATAAAGGCTCAGCAGAATATCCCAACAAACCCTAGTAATCCTTCTCCAAGTACCACTTCCCATCCCAGAAAGTTCCCCACCTACAAGGCAGGCGATGATACTGAGGCCTTCCTAGAAAACTTCGAAAGGGCCTGCCTTGGGTACAACATCTCTACTGACCAATACATGGTAGAGCTGAGGCCGCAGCTCAGTGGACCCTTAGCTGAGGTGGCAGCTGAAATGCCTAAAGAACACATGAACAAGTATGAACTGTTTAAATCCAAGGCGAGAGTCAGAATGGGGATAACACCCGAGCAGTCTCGTCGGAGGTTCCGAGCCCTAAGGTGAAAACCAGACATGTCATTTACCCGACATGCCTACCACATTGTGAAACATTGGGATGCCTGGATATCAGGAGCAAGTGTTGAATCTCCAGTAAATTTGCCCTTCCTAATGCAAATGGAACAATTCTTAGAGGGTGTTCCTGAGGAAATAGAAAGATACATCCTAGACGGGAAGACCAAAACTGTAATCGAGGCAGGAGAGATTGGAGCCAGATGGGTGGAGGTGGCAGAGAAGAAGAAAACTGGTCGCAGTTGGAGCGGAGACCAGAAGGGACCACCCCAGACCACACCCTATTACCGGGGGCCGCCCAAAGCCCCACCTACCTCCCAAAGAACCCTCCAGACCCCTTATCGTCCCACCACCCCATTCTCCAGCAACCCTCCTCGCCCCAGTGACCCGTCAGCTGGACGATGTTTTAAATGTAACGAGCTGGGGCATGTAAAGGCCAACTGCCCCAAGAACCCCAACAGATTACAGTTCATTGCACCGGAATCACACCAGAGGTCCACAGGCCCAGATACCTCCCAGATACCCTTGGAGCGGAGGGAAACTGTGAGTGTGGGCGGGAAGAAGGTCACCGCGTGGAGGGACACCGGAGCACAAGTGTCAGCTATCCATGCTTCCTTAGTGGACCCCAATTTAATCAACCCAGAGATCCAAGTGACGATTCAACCCTTCAAGTCCAACTCTTTCAATTTGCCTACAGCCAAGTTGCCTGTCCAGTACAAGGGCTGGTCAGGAATGTGGACTTTTGCAGTCTATGATGATTATCCCATCCCCATGCTGTTGGGGGAAGACTTGGCCAATCATGTGAAGCAGGCCAAGAGGGTGGGAATGGTCACCCGCAGCCAGGCTAAACAAGCCGTGAGGCCTAGCTCTGTTCCGGAAACTTCTATCAGGACCCAGTCAGAGGTGATGGACCCGGACCCCAGGCCAATGTCTGCAAGAGCAGTAGTGGATCCAGTCCCAGAGACCCAGACGGAACCAGTCCTAGAACCGGAACCAGCCGAACAACCAACACCAGACCCCGTGTCAGCACTGAATCCAGTACTTGCAACCTCAACACCAGAGGGCCCCACCGAACCTGAACTGGCAGCAGCCGATAACCCTACACAAGAGGCTCAGCCGGAGCCTGAATCCCAACATAGTGCACCAGCGGAGAGCAGTTCACAGTCAACAGAAACAGCTCCATCCCCTATATCGCTTCCAGAGGGACCAAGCCTAGGTCCACAATCCCATGAGGAACTGATGTCTCCAGCATCAAGGG